CCATCCATCCATCATCCATCCATCATCCATCCATCCATCCATCCATCCATCCATCCATCCATCATCCATCCATCCATCCATCATCCATCATCCATCCATCATCCATCATCCATCCATCCATCATCCATCCATCATCCATCATCCATCCATCATCCATCCATCCATCCATCATCCATCCATCCATCATCCACCCATCCATCATCCATCCATCATCCATCCATCCATCCCTAAATCCACCTCTGCAGACACCTGGCCACACGTCTGTCCACCCTCAGATCCAGCATCTGTCCTTGAATCCACTTGTCCATCCATCCTCGTGTCCATCCATCCTTGAACCTGTCCACCCATCCATGTGTCCATCTGTCCATCCACCTGTCCAGCTCTCCATGAATGCACCCATTCAGCTTGCGTCCATCTGTCCATCCACCCATCCATCCTCAAATCCATCCATTCCCAAATCCGTCTGTGTCCGTCCATCCCTGAATCCATCTGTGTGTCCATCTGTCCATCCCTGGATCTGGCCAGCTTCAAACTCATCCTCAAACTGTCCTTGCATCCGTTCCCATCCCTGTCCATCCATCCATGGATCACTGTCCATCATCCATCCAGAGTCCACTGTCCACTGTCCGTCCACTGTCCACTGTCCATCCATTGTCCATTCAGTGTCCATCCACTGTCCGCCCACTGTCTGTCCACTGTCCGTCTGTCTGTCCCCCGCTCCTCCCCCCTTCCCCTGATCGCTGCCTCCCCTCCCCCACAAGTGGGGTCTTGGGGGATCAGAGTGTCCTGGTGACACCTGTGGGGGGACACCCAGGTGTCCGGGGGGGACGCAGATGTCCAGGGGGACACCTGTGGGTGCCAGGCTGGGACACACCCGCGTGTCCAGGTGCCAGCTGTGGGTGCCGGGTGAGGCCCCAGGTGTCCAGGGGAGTCTCCAGTGTCCAGGTGGCACCCGGGGTGTCCAGGGGGTGTCACCGTGTGACACTGGGGGTGGCCGAGGTCCTGGTGGCAGCGCAGGTGTGACGGTGTCACACGGGGTGACCCCAGACTGGGGGCTCCTCCCTGTCCGTCCAAGTGTCCGAGTGTCCGAATGTCCGTCGGTCAGGGGAAGCAGGGGGTGGGGGCGGGGCTTGCACGGCCCCTGGGCTCAGGTGTGTGCTCGGAATGGGCGGGAACACCTGTGGAGATGGGGGTGGGGCTACAGGCGAGGGGCGGGGCCACTGGTGGGAGGGCGTGTGCAAGGGGAGGTGCCTTGGGTGGGGAGGGCTGTTTGTGGGGCAGGTGTGAGTTCAGGTGTGTGTGCACACCTGTGTCTGTGTGTGTGCGAACAGCTCCTGTCCAGGTGTGTGTGAACAGTTCAGGTGTGTGTGCACCTGTCCAGGTGTGTGTGAACAGTTCAGGTGTGTGTGCACCTGTCCAGGTGTGTGTGAACAGTTCAGGTGTGTGTGCACCTGTCCAGGGGGGTGTGTGTGTGTGCGCGCGCACCTGTCCAGGTGTATGTGAATACTTCAGTTGTGTGTGCACCTGTCCAAGTGTGTGTGAACAGTTTAGGTGTGTGTGCACCTGTCCAGGTGTGTGTGTGTGTGTATGTCTGTGTGTGTGCACACCTGCCCAGGTGTGTGTGTGTGAACAGTTGAGGTGTGCACACACACCTGTCCAGGTGCGTGAGCAGCTCCCGTAGCCGCATGTCCCTCTGCTGTGAGCAGCCTGGCACGTTCTCTGCTCACACGCGTGTGCAACACCCCCGCTCCCCACACCTGTGTGCGTGCACACCCCCACACCTGTGTGTGTGTGCACACCCCCACACCTGTGTGGGGGTCTCACCCCTGCCGGGGGGGTGGGGAAGAGCCCCGGGCTGTGCGGCCGTGTCACGCGCGTGTGCGAGGCCGTGTCACACGCGCGTGCCCGGGGCCCCGGAGCAGCACCCACCTGTGCCCGGCTCACACTCCTCCAGGTCCTCGTCATCGCTTGGACACTCGGCCGAGGCCACCAGCAGATCGTCCGTGTTCTGGAGGGACACCTGGGGGGTCAGCGCTGGCCTGGAGACCCCCAAACCCCCCTCATCCCCCCCCAGAGACCCCCAGTGCCCAGGGAGGGGTGTCAGGGGTCACCTGAGCCCACCCAGGTGTTTGGGGCAGCCCCTCCAGCCCCACAAACTCCCCCTCCCCTCATGCCCTGCCATTGGGAGGACCCTCCCTCAATCCATACCCCCCCCCTCCAAATTCCTCTCTCCCCATTTTCCTGTCCCAGTGACCCCTCCCCAAAACCCCCCTACCTCCCATATTGACCCCTCCCCCGACCCCCTTTTCCCACCCCACAGCCTCACCTGGGCGACGGTGTCGCGCAGGGTGGGCGAGCGCCCGCGGCGGGTGGTGGTCGTGGCCATGGTGGTGGTGGTCTCCATGATGGTGGTGGCCATGTCGGGGGGCGCGGGGGTGGCGCCGGGGGGCGCGGGGGGCGGTGGGGGGTCCCCCACGAGCCGCAGGTCCCCCTCGAGCCGCACGCGGGGGTGTCCCTCGGCCGCCAGCGCCAGCAGCTTCAGCCCGTTGTAGTAGAGCCCCGAGAGCTGCCCCTGGAAGGGGCGGCCGCGGTCCCGGCCCCCCACCCGCACGCGCGCCTGGCTGTTGAAGATGGTCAGCTGCCGGCCTGGGGGGGAGAGGGGGGGCTCGCACACCTGGCACACCTGGCACAGGCACACCTGGCTCACCTGTGCTACCCCCACACTGTCACCTCACCCACACACACCCCCCCGAATGGTGCAGAGGGGCAGCTGCCGGCCTGGGGGGGAGAGGGGGGGCTCGCACACCTGGCACACCTGGTACACCTGGTGCTGGCACACCTGGTACAGCTGGTGCCGGCTCACCTGTGTCACCTCAACGCTGTCACCTCAATACCATCACCCAACACTGTCACCTCACACTCACACACCCTCCCATGGATGGAGAGGGGGGGCTCGCACACCTGGAACACCTGGCACACCTGGAACACCTGGCACACCTGGCACAGTCCCACACTGCCCCACCTGCCTCACCCTGCCACGCCCACCCCACCACCCTCCCCCACCCTCAC